AAAATTCTCACAAAAGGATCAATAAGCAACATCATGATAAATGGAGAAAAGATTGAAGTCGTCAAGGACTTCATGTTACTTGGATCCACAACCAATGCCCATGGAAGCAGCAGTCAAGAAATCAAACGACGCCTTGCATTGTACAAATCTGCTGCAAGAGACCTCTTTAAAGTGTTCAAAAGCAAAGATGTCACTTTGAGGACAAAGGTGCACCTGACCCAAGCCATGGGGGTTTTCAGTTGCCTCATATACATGCAAAAGCTGTACAATGAATAAGGAAGACCGAAGAAGAATTGATGCCTTTGAGTTGTGGTATTGATGAAGAATATTGAATATACCATGGACTGCCAAAAGAATGAACAAATCTATCTTGGAAGAATTACAGCCAGAATGCTCCTTAGAAACAATGATGATGAGACTTCGTCTCACATACTTTGGACATGTTATCAGGAGGGACCAGTCCCTGGAGAAGGACATCATGCTTGGTAAATTGGAGGGTCAGCAAAAAAGAGGAAGACTGTCAAGGAGATGGATTGACACAGTGGCTGCAACAATGGGCTCAAGCATAGCAACGATCTTGGGGATTGTGCAGGACCAGGCCGTGTTTCATTCTGTTGCACATGGGGTCGCTATGAGTCAGAACAGGCTCGACAGCACCTAACAATGACAACATGGTGCCAGCAACAGAATGTTGCTAGAAACGTGGATGTTAAATGTGCTTCTGCTGAGGCTTTAAAAGAAAACGATGAACATGTGTTTGGACAGTGGAGGAAGGGTGATGCTTTTTATGCAGTGGCAAAGAACTTGTCTGAATTATGTTCAAATGTTTGGTGGAAGGTAGAACTTGTAAGTGATGAAGTTGGATATCTGGCTGAGGAGATTTCTAAGCAAGATCTTAAAGGGGCCACATAGTTTCTCCTTGCCACTTATAGTAAAATGAGAGAGGAAAGAAATGGACTTAAAAATGAACTGTGCAAAATGGAAACAAAAATTAAAGATTTGGAAAATTCCGTTGTACAAACTAAGGACATGTGTCCTAGAAAGTTCATCAAGGACGTGGCTACACAATCTTTTGTTAAAGAGATTAAGCCTGTGACTGATGGATCTAACCAACTACCACGGCAGAAAACCCAACAGCTTAGACTGAAGGGGACAGAGAAGGAACGAAAGGACAGAATGCTGTCTGCCTCTTGGATATCTACAGGTAGAAAACAAGCCAAAGGAGCTACATCTGTTGTCCGCCAAGAAGAGAAAAGGACCATCCCTGAAGCAGCTCAGAGATCAGCAGAACTGTTGGAAGGAGCATGGGAAGCAGGGCTGCATCGGTTTCAAAGGGTAGAGTCACGCCTCGTAGGTTTAAGAGTCAGATCTTCACCAATTCAGTTTGGAGTGTGGGGCTGCCGTTCATGAGTACCAGGGGGATGGGGTTGCTTCCCAAAGCTGACAGTATAGGGCTGCCATACCCAAGGGGCAGAAGAACAGGGCCTGCTGGTGCTGAGGGGGTGGGGTCGACACTCAGATGGACTAGGAGAATGGGGCTGCCCAAAGCCAAGGGAGCACAGTTGCCATCCCAGCGGGCCTGTAAGGTGAAGCTGAAGCCCAGGGCCAAGGGGCCACCACCCAGAATCCAGAGGCCATGGTCAACACTCAGAGTCTGGAAGGCAGGGCCATTGCCCAGATGGTTTCAGAGAATAGAGGATTATTTTCAAGCCTTGAGAGCTGATGTAATGTATTCTACTGGGTTTTGGACTTGCTTGGTGCCCTTTATCCTTTCTTTCCACCAAATTTCTCCCATTTATAATGGAAATGTATACCTTGTGCCTATTACACAATTGTACTTTGGAAACAGATAACTTGTAATCTAGATTTCACACGTTCACAGATGAAGAGGAATTTTGCCCCAGGATGGAATACACCTAAAGTCTCACCCATATTTGATTTAGATGATTGTAGAAGATGAGCCTTTGAACTTGGCATTGATTTATGACTTTTGGGATGATGTGATGGGGTGAATGTGTTTTGCATGTAGCAAGGACATGAATTTTGGGGGGCCAAAGGGTGGAGTGTTATGGATTGAATTGTGTCCCCAAAAAATATGTGTTGTAAATCCTAACCTCTATGCCTGTGGTTATAATCCCATTTGGGAATTGTCTTTGTTATGTTAAGGAGACAGAATTAGTTTAGAGTATGTGTTAAATCAGTCTCTTTTGAGAGATAAAAATAGATTAAACAAGCAAGCAAGAAAAGCAGAGATGAGAGAAGAGAGATGCCAAGCCACATGAAGATTGCCCAGGAGCAGAGAAGCTCAGAAGAAACAAGAACCTTCCTCCAGAGCCAAAAGAGAGAAAGCCTTCCGCTAGAGTCAGCACCCTGAATTTGAACTTCTAGTGTCCTAAACTGTGAGAAGATAAATACCACAACCTGTCCACTTGTGGTATTTCTGTTACAGCAGCACTAGATAACAAAGAAGGGGCCTGTTAAGTGTTATTGTCATTTAATCCACTATATCCCTACTCCATCCCACAGCAATGTGCAAATTGCAGCTTCCTGGCTCTTCAATGCTATTTCTCCCACCTGTGTCACACTCCTTTTCTACCTATCTAAATCAAAAGTGTTAAAAAGCAAAAATGTGACTTTGAGGACTAAGGTGAGCCTGATCCACCGATGGTATTTTCAATCGCCTCATATGCATGCGGAAGCTAGACAATGAATAAGGAAGATCAAAGAAGAATTGATGCCTTTGAATTACGGTGTTGGTGAAGAATATTGAATATAACATGGACTGCCAGAAGGACGAACAAATCTGTCTTGAAAGAATTACAGCCAGAACGCTCCTTAGAAGCAAGGATGGTGAAACTTCATAGTTTGGACAGGTTATCAGGAGGGACTAGTCCCTGGGGAAGGACATCATGCTTGGTAAAGTAGAGGGTTAGGGAAAAGAGGAAAACCATCAACAAGATGGATAGATACAGTGTCTGCAACAATTGACTCAAGCATAACAATGATTGTGAGAATGGCGCAGGACTGGGCAGTGTTTCGTTCTGTTGTACATAGGGTCACTATGAGTCAGAACCAGCTTGATGACACCTAACAACAAGTCCTGCCTATTCTTGCCCCTTCCCCAGAGCATTGCCCTGGCAATTCCTCGGCATCCCATCCCCTATTCACCTGTATTGGGCACCACAGACCTTTCACATGCTGTCTGTTTTTACTCTGCCTGTTTCACACGTGTTCATTTGGTCTTCTAAAGGACACTTTAAGCTCTGGAAAGCAGAGGCTTTTCTCTTCTTATTCATCTTTTGTTTTATAGGAAAAAATTCTCCTTAGATGTCAGTATCAAGAATAGTTGTGCTTTTTCTAAACCACTGGTTTGGTTTGGAGCTTATGGACACCAAATCTTATATCTGATTATATTTCTGTTTCCCTCTTTTGGCTGCTACAGAGCTTAGAATCAGGCTTGTGGTTTACTGTTCTTCAGGGCAAGTATTTTGTGTACATGTCTCACCCCATCTTTATATTGTTTATTTTTCCCACATTTTTTCCATGTGACCCTGCTTTCTACACCTTTTATACCTTGTTTTCTTGTGTTCACTTTTTAAGCATCTTAATTCCTTTTGGGAACAAAGGGGGCATACCTGTTACCGTCTAGTCAATTCTGACACATAGCGACCCTACAGGACAGAGTAGAACTGCCCAACAGGGTTTACAAGGAGTGCCTGGTAGATTCAAACTACTGACCTTTTGGTTAGCAGCCATAGCTCTTAACCACTACACCACCAGGATTTTCAAAGGGGACATAAATAGTACATATTTTAGTGTAAAGCAGCATAGAGGCATGGCAAGAGCCAGGGCTATGCAGAAGGTAGACCTAGGTTCAAAGTCACTCCACCACTGACCTGCAGAGTAGCCTGGAGCAAATTACCTCCACTCTCTTGAGTCTCTGTTTCCCAGCTTGACCCTTAAAGAGAGAAGGAACCTACCTCACAGAGTTGCTGTGCCATCTCAATAAGCTAATGTGAGTGAAGTGCCGAACACTATACCTGGCATCTAGATGCTGCCCGTTAGATATTAGTTCCATCTCGTATCCTCAAGTGTGTCTCTAAAAGTTAAGCTGTTAAGGAGTACTGAGTTTCCGTTTAGGGAGACGAGAATCATTTTGGAAGTGGATACTGGTGATGGTTGCACAGTATGGTGAGAGTCATTCATGCCACTGAATGGCATACTTAAAAATGGTTATCATGTCAAACGTTTTGTTATATAAATTTTACCATAATAAAAAAAAAATTTAAGCTATGCTGCTAAGCAGATGTTTCTAAATTAATCAACGGGAAATTTTATATTACATTTAGTAGGTTGCTCAATTCCAGCACCTACAGAAGCTTCTTCTCTCAGGCGGCTCAAGCACTTACCAATTTGCTTAAGGCCTGCAGCTCACCTTAGCTTTCTGGAAAATTATCTCCGTTCCTGTCTCCAATGCTATAAAATCACCTAACGAAAGGCATCAAAGCATGAAGACATGCTTGATTCTTCTGATTCTGCTTGGAGTGGGTTTTCCCTCTTAAAAATAAACAATTTCTGATAAATAACAAGTCCCTGGGTGGCACAAAGTGTTGTTAAACACTCAACTACTAACTGAAGGGTTGGCAGTTCGAACCTACCCATAGGTGCCATGGAAGAAAGACCTGGCAGTCTGCTTCCAGAAGTTCACAGCCTTGAAAAGCCTATGGAACACAGTTGTACTCTGTATACATGAGGTTGCCATGAGTGGGAATCAACTTGATTTGGTTTGGTTTTTGATAAATAATATCACTTAAGAATGCTGAATTCCTGAGTGTTAGGGAGTCAAGGCTTTCTCTGACAAAGGCTTCCTGGTGTCAACAACTTGCTAGCTGGCTGTAAAAATTTCGTACACTGGCTCTCCTGGGATCAGGAGTCTGTTTGCAAACCGTAATACGTGCTTCCTCGTCTGACCTTGCTGTTGCGCTCTTTTTCTCCATTAGCCTTGTAGCGGTGCCTGGGAATCCGCATCCTGTGGAAAGACAGACGACCAGATGACGGCTTCCGGTCAGGCTCGGAAATACGTGAATGCATTCTCAGCCCGGACTCTGGTCATGTGAGACATTTCCAAACAAGCATTATGGTTTTCAGAACACTTCAGGTTGACTTGGGATATATCATTCCTCTACATGAAACTTTTCATGAATGGGAGAAGAGCCTATTTTTGTTGTGGTACAACAGTTGAGAGCAGCACAAAGTGCATTTAGTTGACCGAAATCTTATTGGATTTCATTCAACTAAAAGGATTTTTAAAAATAAATAGCAGTCTTACCTAAGTTATTAGGTAATGAATTGTCATCAGTTGTTAGTATCTTAATGCAAATTTTTTTAAAACAGAAAGTGATTTATCTGTATTTTAGAGGATCCAACAAACCAGTATTTTCTCCTGTGATGACTTTTTTGAATTTTTACATTAAAAATGGTACTCCAATATTTTCACTGTTCTCAATCACTAAACATAATACATTGATTAAAAAAAAGAATCAGTATAAGCATTACTATAAATGTTGACTTAATACCATGGGATAATTAACCAAGATTGTAAATGCTCATTTATGGTTAATAACATTGGAGGTACATTTACTGTACTAAACCATTTTATGAGTTTTTTGTTAGCTTGCTTTAAAAATTATTACTGTATGAAATAGTTTTATAAAAAAAAATTATATTTTTATTCAGTAATTTAATTTTGTAAATGCCAAATGAAAAATGTGTTTTGCTGCTATGGTCTTAGCCTGTAGACATGCTGCTAGTTTCAGAGGGGCAGTAGAGCTTTGGATGGAAGGAAAAGAAACTTGGTGTTAGGTAATTGACTATGCACTAGTATTTCAAACTTTTTTATTTTTTTATATATATACATATATATATACATTTTTTTCCTTTTGTAATACATTGGAAAACTTGTTTGGGAGATTTTTGCATTTGTTGTTGTTTTTTGTTATTGTTGGTTTATAAGAGCATGCATTGCACTTCTTTTTTTGGGAGATCTGTGTTGTTGATGTCCTGTGTTTTGTTTCGAGTTCAGCCTGACTGCTCTTTAATTCAGGGTTATGTGTTTGATCGCATCCATGGTTTCTAAGTGTATGGTCTCCAAACTGTCGCATGGAGACTGTGTTTGCAGCTGGGAGACAGAAGACTGGGGTTGATAACCAGTTGCTGCCTTAAGAATATTTGGTGCAAGATGGCCGGCACTAGACTTTTGATATGACAGTGTACTTACTGCCTTGTAGAGAAATAAAGCTGTGCCCTTGTTTTACTTACTTTTGACTTCTCTTTTATTTTTGGTTGTGGACAATAGTCATACTTTTAAGAAAACGAAGGGAGCTCAGTATGATTAATAAACTGGACAGCATCTAACTCAATGTGATGAAGCCAAGAATCGTACTTTAGAGAGACAGGAACAGACAAACCAATTTAAATAGCTCACAAAATAATCATGTGCAGAATGACAACTGTAAGGAATCTTCTAGACCGTATCAGCCAGGGTTCCAGCAACATTCCAACTGGGATAATGCGAGGAGAGTTCATTTACAAAGAGACTGGTACCACAGATGTGGGCAGTGTAGGGGAACCACGGGGATAACGTAGGCATGTGGATATAGCCCTCATGGTATCGCCGCCCGGAGCAGGAGAGTCATCTAAAGCAGGAGCCCTTGAGTGGAATGGGGACCTTTGGCAAGGGCGCTGCCACCCAAGGTGATCTCACAGGGAGGGAGCCAAAGGTAATGCCCTAACTTTGCTTCCCCTATTCCTCTGCCTGGGCTCCTCATTGGCAGAACCAACCAGAAGCCAGAGGGCAAGGGAACGCCCTGATGTAAGCCAGATGGTCAGCTTCCTAGGGCAGAGAGCTGGAGGGCGGGTTCTGGAGGAGCAAGGTTGCCCAGCAACCAGTCAGCCCAGTGCCCCCATTTTACAGCTGAATCTCCACTGGTTTCCATCTCTTAGCTCAGTGTTCATTTCCCTGTGCTACAATCCCTTTAACACAGACGTCTTATACTTCCTTTAGTCAATCTGTTCCGACTCAGAATTTGAATTCTCATACGTATGATGTTAAACATTTGGTATTTGTAGAGCCAAGGATGTGCTACACCTAATTACTAGTCTTTAATATTGCTTTGCATTCTTTGATTGTCCTTCTGATAGCTCATAACACTTCATCCTAATGTTAGGAAGTTTTTTATATTCATGCACTCTTTTGAGTAGTTTTCCAGGTGCTCACTCTACCGCTTACTAGCAGTATGAACCTGGAGAAGTCACTAACCTCTCTGAGCTAGCCTTGTTAGCTTTATCTGTGAAATGTGTTCATTCCTACAGTGAACTTTTGTTAAGTGACACACTATACAATATTTGCTATTACATGCCGTCTCCATGATTAAATGATGCATGCCACATAGCGTGTCAAATGCTCCTCTGGCTGATAATGTGCGCTGCTAACTGCAGACTTAAACTTGGGGTCACGTTACAATTTTTAAAATAAATTAATGGCAAGAATGAACTCAATGTTATACAGAACAAATATTTACATTCCTAACAGGTGTGTTACCCAATAACTCAAGACTGATCATCTAAGGTAATTAAAAGATTACAAGAAGTGTAAATTTAGATTTTATGCACAAATACACTCACATAAGATCCATTCCGCAATAAACTATAAAACGTGTTTGTTTTCTTTTCTTTTTTTTTTTTTTTTTACCATCCTGCTCTTTACAATGGGGATCCAGTAGTAAAAAAAAATGGAAACAGTATTATTTACCACTTAAATAAAAGATCATCCTTTTGAGTTACTACTTGTAGAGCTCATATCCAGATATGTACCTCCAGAGAATAGGAGGGACACGGAGAGGACTCAGACAATTGATAATTCAGGCTGATGAAAAAGATGTCCAGGGGAAAGTGCTTTGTTTCTTTAGAAAGTATACAATATTAGAACTGGAAGGGACCTTAGCTATCATAAGGAGCTGCCTATAAGAGGCTTGCATCATTGTTCTGCAGAAAGAAAATCACTTTTGGGGCCGGGCCAACCTTAGTTTAAATCCAGACTCTGCCCTTTACCAACTCTGTGATTTTGTATGCGGTTTGCTTACTCTCTTTAAGCTTCGTTTTACTTAGCTATAAATTGGAGATAAAAATATTTCTCAAGGTTATTGGTATTATGAATACAGGCAGTCCCTGGATTACGAACTAGTTCTGTTCCGAAGTCTGTCTTTAAATCAGATTTGTACATAAGTCAGAACAGTTAGGTATGGTTCGTACGTTCGCATCTAATGTCAGTCAGTCAAATGTTTATCTTAGTGTATAGTATATAGTGTATTTTTCTATGCATTAAAAAACATCAGGGAAACACTTCCAGATACGCTGAAACATCTTTAACATAATAATACAGAAATAATGTAATGTTTTGATGCGCATTACAACATTGCAAAGTAGTGCCTGTTTGTTATTACAAACCATTGTATGTGTCTTAAATTTTTAATATGATAGGCTTTATAGGGGTTGGTTTGTAACTACAGGTTATAAGTAATGAGGATTGGTTTGTAACTACGGATTGTAAGTAAATCGGACATTCGTAACCCTGGGACTGCCTTATTACATGAGCTAATACATGTATTCTTCCATCTCTGTAAATTGTTGCTGAGAGTATTGATTAGATAAGTTACAGTAATACGATAGATCATAGAAAAAAAATGCCTATTTCCCAGTAAAGGAGAAATGAATACCCTGGAGGCCCACCTCCCTAATTGTGTGTTAACTCTGTTCTCTGTATTAAAACTAACTTAAATCTAGCTTATATCTTCTCAAAATATCCCTAATCATTCTCACATATATTTAAATGTGTGTATAGGTTTCTTATTCTTGTACAAATATATGTCAGAAATATAGGACATATTTTTCCTTAAAGTTGTTGGTTTCTAATCCAAAAAAGAAAATGATCTCATAGATAAAATGTGCTGTGCAGATCTATTACACTGAACTTAGCATCTTTATGAATTTGGTGCTTATTTTTCTCCTTTTAACCATTGCTACTAAAAAATAAATTTTTCCTTATTCACCATTTTTAGAGGGTGAAGCTGACTGAGGAAAGGAAGCCAGCTAAAATGCAAGCGTTGTTTTAAAAAATGAAATCAACTTGTACACAATTATGCCTAGTAACACTGCTAACTGGAGCAATGTGGCGGGGGTGGGGGAACCAAACCCATTGCCATGAAGTCAACTTCGACTCATAGTGACCCAAACTATAAATTTTAGCGAACTTCTTAGTGTTTTGGTAATAAATAGGAATGAATTACTTTTAATTAATATTCAATGTAATATTCTTGATACTAAGGTGGAAATTGAAGAGATTATGGTCTTTGCTGTCAAGTAGCCTTCATATTTGCCTTGTGGACCATGTTTCTTTTATTCAGCTAGTATGTTCTGAGTACCTATTGCGTGTGAGGTGCTGTGTTTGAAGTTGAGGTTAGATCTTAAAACAGCATAAGTAAAAACCCCTGCCATCTGTGAGCTTATATTCTGATGAGAGATACAAATGACAAAGTGGATAATTACAATATGGTTGTAATAGGGGTGGCAGAGGCCGTAGGAGAGACACCAGATCTAGACTTGGAGGAGCAAAACAGATTTCCCACAGAATTCACCTCTAAACAAGACTGACAGATGAAGTTGGGCGAAAGTGAGAGTGGGAGGGGCCATTGGGGTGATCTATCTTTGGTTTGATTTTTACAATATGTAGGGAAGCATGATTTTATCTATAGTATATATCAATCTCTAATAACATGGTTCTATTGTCCATGATCTGTCAAAAGGAAATTTATATCTCAAGAAGATTAGCACATAAACAAAGAAATTTTCGTCCACAACTCCTTCATTCTAAACCCAGGTAATCAGTTTGCAAATCACTTTATAGCTCTGTACTTTGAGATTTCTATTTAAATCTAGAAGTATTTTATCCTGTATATAATTTAAAAGCACACCAAAAACAAAAACAGTTGCCATCAAGTCAATCCCAACTCATGACGACCGCGTCTGTGGCAGAGTAGGACTGCACTACGTAGGATTTTCAAGACCCTTTCAGAAGCAGATCACTAGGCCTTTCTTCCAAGGCACCTCTGAGTGTGTTTGAACAGTCAGGCTTTCAGTTAGTAGTCTAGAGCTTAACCATTTGCATCACCCAGGAGGGTCTCAAATCCAGGACAAACAAAATTCAAAGAAAGCTTCAGTAGCCCAAAACATTGAAATGCTCAGGATAGCATTATGATGTTTTCCTGCTAGAAAACTGTCTCTGAAATGAATTAGTAAGTTAACAAATCACTTAGCCTTTCTACCATTAGACTTAGGATTTGTTTTCATTCTAGCATTTTTCTAAAGAATTTAAATCTAATCACTATTTTTTAATGGTCCCAAATTTCTAAAGATGGATAGACACTCCGTCCTTCCCTTCCTTGTTCCTACGTCATTGCAAGCAGTGACCAAGTTCAAGGCCTGAAGTCAAGCGCAAAGGTGGTCACTGGGTGGGGTAGTAGCAGAGTAGGCCTTACTCAGATCATCCCAAATCCATTTCCCTCCCTTATTCCAAATCTGCCAAAATGAAGACATTGGACACATGTATCTGATCGAACACAGTGAATTGATGACATGAATTTACTACACTCCATCATAAAATTCTAATTCCAAAATGATAAAGGGGTGAATAAGGGTCACTGGCCGAAGAGAACAGCAACAGATAAGAGAATATTTTCCAAGAAACTACTTACTTGTTTATTCAACAAATATTTATTGAGCATTCCACATGCAAGGCAGAATTCAAAACAATCAAAAATATATAAAATGACTAGATGTTATGGATTGAATCATGTCCCCCAGAAATGTGTGTCAACTTGACTAGGCCATGATTCCCAGTATTTTATGGGTATCCACCATTTTGTCATCTGATGTGATTTTCCTATAAGTTGTAAATCCTATCTCTATGATGTTAATGAAGCAGGATTAGAAGCAGTTACGTTAATGAGGCAGGACTCAAGTCTACAAGATTAGGTTGTGTTTTAAGTCAATCTCTTTTGAGCTATAAAAGAGAGAAGCGAGCAGAGAGACAGTGGGACCTCATACCACCAAAAAACAAGAGCCAGGAGAATAGCACATCCTTTGGAGCAGGGGTCTCTGTGCTGAGAACCACCTTGACTGGGGAAGATTGATGACAAGGACCTTCCCCCAGAGCAGACAGAGAAAGCCTTCCCCTGGAAGTGGCACCCTGAATTCAGACTTCCAGCCACCTAAACTGTGAGAGAATAAATTGCTCTTTGTTAAAGCCATCCACTTAAGGTATTTCTGTTATGGCAGCACTAGATAACTAAGATACTGGCATAGCAGTATTTTCTTGAATAACCTCAAAATCACTAACAAAGAAGCCTATTTCAGATTTGCTTTTTTAATCACCATATTTCTTTAATCTAAAATGTCCTTTTTCATGTTTTAACATTTCTGATGTCAGGCTGTGTCTTTAATGTAGTCTGAATTTTCTCTCTTTGAAAATTAATGTTATTAAGTCTATAGAGTCTTACAATTTATTTTACACCATAAAATAAAGGAAGAGCTTGGAATGTATAAACAGAAATTTCAGAAAG